ATCACACAAAATACTAGATGCACTCCTTAACCTAACTTGCCTTGATTCTATGATTAATACCATCTCCAATTTCTCTTTCTTATGAATAATCAAGCCTAAATAACCAAAACGTTCATTTTTTTTTTTGGGTATCTGATGACTTTCCATCTACACTTCATCTCTATTTGTATTTCTAAATTTACAAAATTTACATTCCATATACTCAGTTTCATTCTTAGAGTTTCCTTCCAAACCTCCAATTTAGCACTTACTCCTCCTTGAGTTTCATCGATTAAAACAATATCATTAGCAAATAACATACACAATGGAATCTCATCTTGAATGTGTCTCGTTAGTTCATCCATGATTATAGGCTTATAGCGAAGAATTATGGGCTGAATGCTGACTTTGAGTGTATTTTCACATCCATCACACGTCATTATTGCGTCAGTACATCCCTTTCTGATTCTTTGTTTTCTAAAACTCTCCATATTAGATCTCTAGGTACCTTAGCATAGTCTCTCTCTTTAAAAAAAATATATATATGAAGATTGTTCTTTTTATCTATAAGTAAATGCCTTCACTGGTCACACTCCATCAAAGGATCTCCTGTTTCTCTCTTTCCATAGAGCCCACCACAGACACAGGGGAGCTGTCTTCCATGCATCTCTAATTTGAGGACACACAAGACATCCACCCCGAGCATCAATCAAGCTCATCGCTGACTCCGGCATGATATCCCAACCATCCCTACCTCTGGGGCAGATCAAAAGGAGTTGGTTCACCAATTCCTCATCCCTCTTACACATACAACACTAATTGACAATGATCTGACGTCGCCTTTTCAGATTGTCAATAATCAAAATCCTCTCCCGAGCTGTTGTCCAAGAAAAGGCCGCCTTCATGGGGCTTTCAAGCACCATCTTCCTTTCCATGGAAAGGACGTTCCCCGAACATCCATCAATGGGCAATAGAACGAGCACACCTCAAATCTTCTGTGGCTCATACCCGCCCAAGACTGGCTGACTATAAATCATGGTGAAGAACTCAACCATATCCCCCGCCTTCCAATCATGCAAGCACCTCTCAAACTGCACGTCCCAGGTCAATTCCCGTCATCAAGATGATGGCAGTGATTGACCAGCACATGCCTATCCATCGCAATTGGGCCCAATGGAAGATCCTTGGGCTCTTCCCCCCATTATCATATATACCTGATTGGTACAAAAAATTGTTCTATCGTGAAAATTTATTTTTTATACATTTTATCAAGCTGCTAATTGAACTATACAATGATACAGGGTGGCCATGCACTACATGCAGATTTTGTTCGCTGCCTATCAGGAATCAATTAAAATGGGGAATGTGCAATTATCTTTGTCCAAAAACCCAAGAAGTTTGGAATATGAAGAAGTGTGTTTGTTTTATGCAGAGATATGTTGGGAAGGGAATATATCCTCCAGTGTCTATAATCTGCCTTAATTTGTCAAACAGCTGAAGTGATGTTTTCAGAGGGTAGCACATAACATTGAGCAGAATTTCCCATTCAAGGGTTAATACAAGGTATGCCACTACAAGAATTGCTGTTTTATAATAGCATTTATGTAGGAAATATTTTAGTCGTCCAACAGAAATGAATAGATTTCACTGATCTGGGTGTAAGGACTGATAGAGTCAGTACAGGTGTAACCGTTTAGCATCATTTGTACAAGTAAACGTTCTCAGGCGTAAATTCTTTGCATCATTTGATTTTTTTACTGCCACAATGAGTAATGGACTCTTAATGATTTGAAAAGAAAAGAAACAAAAAGAAATTGAAAAGCTATTGGTTCCTAACTTTCAAATTGTAATCCATTGGAAGTAAGAGAAATTAATCATATGAGATGATAAAAAAAAGAGAAATTAGTCATATGAGATGATAAAAGGACCTTTGTAGGATTGGTACAAACATAACCTTTTAGCAGTATTTGTTGAACTTGAATATGTATACTCGCGCTTGTTAGTTCGAGTATTTACTTCTGCATCAAGCAATGAATCCTATTGGTAAAAAAATAATTAAGTAAAAAATAATAAATAAAAATAACAGTAATAGTTCAAAAGATTCAAATTGTAATCCATTGGAAGTAAGGGAAGAGTTATTTTAGATGATAAAAGAACCCTTATCTAATTCTGCTATCTATTTTAATATAAAAACTCACATTTGAAAATAAAAAAATTAAAATGTTGTGGATATATATAATCATGTATGCATGTATATCCAAACAAAACCAAAAAGGTTGCATGTACAATTTCTTCATTTTCATATGACTTCCTTGAGAGTTCAGATGGTAAACTATTTTGAATGTGACAAGTCTCGACATGGTATGAAGGCAAAGGTCGTTTGGTCGTTTCCCTACTGTGGCAGGCTTGCAGCCAAGCTGGTGATAAGGTTTCATCATATTGCTTCAGTTAAATAAAACTTTTTATTTTTGTGTTTTCTATGTCAAAAAAAAAAAAATTGTAGTTTCTGGACCTCATGCAAAGGAGGACTAGGAACAAGATTGGTGGAGGCATGTTGCAGCAATTGTAAGTTCATATATTGTTAGTGATGCCAAGCTACAACCACTTGCCTCATTACTTGAAACCATGCTTCCTTTGTACCATGCTTCCTATACAAAGGAGCATTCCTAGAAGATGAAATCCCTGTGTTGAAATCTGATCTGGTTATGGGTTTCCGAGCAGTTTGTGTGGCAAAATAATCAGAAAAATTTGGAGAAAGTGGCAGAGGATTATTTGATGGATTTGGTTGTAGAAGTCTAGTAGTTGTTCCTAAGAAAAGGTCTGATGGTAAAGGCAAATCATGTCTTGTCCATGATCTCTTGCGTGATTTATGCTTGAGAAAAGCTGAAGAAGAGAATTTTGCTCACCAGATTTCTAGGTATCAACGAGCTTCTTGTTCTTGTTTGTCTGCTCCTATTTCAAGCATGCATCATTGCATGTATCGACTCTAGTCGTATATCTGCCATTCTAGCCTGGTTAATAATGCTTTTTTTTAGATCTTTATCATCGTGCCCTTCAAATCTGCTCTTTCTTGTCCATTAGTCGTTTGTTTTATCACTTAACTTGGGGTGACGTCTCATTCATTTGTGAAACCTTGAAACTTTAGGGTGTTGAATCTATCATCCATTAAAACATCTTCCTTCATAATGAGTATCACAACTAATTCACTCAAAAGTTAATTAAAATTGAAACACGTGTTGGACCAAAAGAAAGCCACACCTAAGGGGCGTTTTTAAAGAATTTAAATATTAAAGTTACTTAAGTTTTAGAGTCGTTTGTAGTTATCAAATGTTTCTTGAACCTAGAAACACTAGTTATCGAAGGAAAAAGGTTGTTTATTTTTATCATATGATATTTGGAAGATGGTGAAGTTAGGGCATCTGTATACCAAGGAGCTGCTTATTTGAATCCAGTGTATACATGATTGTGGATTTTTTGTACTAGATAACCTGCAAACAATGAGCAATGTACAAGAGAGTCTTTCAACAAACCGAGCTTTCTGATTCACCTTGAAACATTAAATGTGATTTATGGTGAATTGGCAGGCATCCAAAAAGTTTTCTACATCTGTAAATTTGCCCCAAATCTGAAAATGTTAACTTTATCATCATGTTTTTCTTCCTGGGAAGGAAATGTCAACCCTTGGGCTTGAGGTTCTCAAATTAAATAATGCTTTCGAGGAATCAAGGTGGGACAGAAGTGATGGCAAGTTTCACAAACTCATATTCCAGAAATTTGAAAGCTTGGATATGAAGCAATGGAGTGCCTCCAGTGATCACTTTCCCTGCCTGAGACATTGATGTTGGGAACATGTATGTGGATAGCGCGGTGAGATTCCTTTGAATTAGAGGATATTTCTACGTTAGAGGTCGATTCAGCTCTAGTATTGTAGCTGCTCTACTGCAAACTCTTATCAAGCAAATGCAACAACAACAATGGAGCACGAGGAACGATAGGCTTATGAAGACACCAAAAGTGACCCGGGTTTGGTATGATCCATATTGCTGAGAACGGGTCGGGTATAGGCAACCAAGATGGAGCAAGTCCTCGCTGAATGGGCCCAGGTCCAGGAAGTCATTAAGGAAGCCCACATTGTGATGAAAGGAGTTGGGCCCAAGCAAAAGGAAAGAAGATAGGTACAGCCCAGGAGGGATTGTAACCGTCTATAAATAGACGAAAATAAGAGGGAAAAGGGGTTGAAAAATATTTTGGAAGTGTAAAGTTTCTCTCTAGAATTGGGGAAAATTCTTTGTACTTTCAATTGGCGCCGTCTGTGGGAAAAACGACGAGGATTGATTGGTGTTGATCGAAATCAATTCGATTCAGAGCACTTTGCGAAGAAGGTGCTTGATATTTGAAAGCTGAGTCAAGATTGATGAAATTGTGATCTATCTTGATGAATCTCGGTTCTAGTTGATCTCGAGAGGTTGGCGTCCGATCTACGCAGATCTGATCTATACTTGTTTCGGTGAGCTGCGCAGTTGCGACTTGATGAGATTGCCGAATTCGGCAAGCTCGTAGCTGAAGTAATTCAAATCCGCCCAGTAATGAACATAATTCAACAAGTTTGAGTCCAGATCTGGTGCGTTTGCATTAGCAAAGCTCAGATGTGATCAAGAAGTCTGCGGTTAATGACTTTGCTCCGATCAGGAATGATGATCGGAGAAGAGAGCTCAAATCCCTTGGAGAATGGCCAGCAGTCGAAGCTTGATGAGTTGATGAACATGATCGAAGCCCTGAGAAAGAAAAATGCAGAATTGCGAGCTGGAATGGAGCGTCGTGAAGCTCCTACTATTCCGAGGCCACCTCCGGTAGGAGAAGGAGTCTTGTCGTTCAATGTTGTTCATCAAGGTGATCCAGAAGGTGTCAATCGCGTGGATCCTCGTCGTGATGAAGTTTTAGCAGGCGATCTCCCTCCAAATGTCCGTTAAGTAGAGGATCGAGAGGGATCTATTCATTTGGAGCCACACTGCGAACGGATCATGCGAGAGGAAGCGCCGGTGCACGATCATAGGGCTGCATCACTATGGCAAAGTGAGTTTGCGGAGGACAGATCGTTTGATCCACCCTATCGACCTTCAATGGCAACATTTGATCACCGCAATTCAGAAAGGAGATCTGCCGATCAGGGAGCTCCATCACGATTTTCAAGGGAGAATGAAGCACTGCGCTTATCAGCAAGGACGGTTGCATCTCCGTTCACTGATGAAATCCTAAACGCTCCTAATCCGAAGAAGTTTTCCATGCAGATATTCATTCTGTTTGATGGAACAACCGACCCGGTTGACCACATCTACCACATTCAGTTGAAAATGGCTTTGAATACTAACAATGATCCTTTGATGTACAAATGCTTCCCTACAAGTTTGGCTGGGCCAGCCCTTAATTGGTTTAAGAATCTGGCCCAAGGCTCAATTGCTAGTTTCCAGGACTTGTGTGACAAGTTCATAAGCCAGTACTATGGGAATAAACGCCCGGCTAAGGATGTTTCAAGCCTTTTCACAATGAAGCAGCACGAAGATGAACAACTCCAAGCTTTCCTCACCCGGTTCAACCTTGTCAAAAGCATGGTAATGGATTGTCATCCGTCCATAGCGGTCCAAGCGTTTAAACTTGCAATGAACCGAGGGACACCGTTCCACACAAGCCTGGTGGTGAATACGCCGAAGACCATGGACGAGCTGAACGAGAGAGCTGACGGTTTTGTGCATCTGGAAGAAGAAAAGGCAGCTAATGCAAGGAAGACATCAATTATTTCAACAGAAGAGAAGTCTAAAGCCAAGATCCGGCAAAAACAAGTTCAGCCGCAACGTCAGACCTCCTGGAAAGCAGAGAAGAGGCCCAGAGAAGAGGAGTTGGTTACTCCACTCAGAGTTACCCTAGCAAGGTTGTATCAAGAGAACAAAGATAAGTTTTGCCCTCCTTTACCAATCAAACAACCTCTTGAACAGAGGGATCAAACTAAACATTGTGCTTTCCATAGTGACTTTGGACATCAGACTAATAAATGCAAGAACCTAAAGAGGCAAGTGGAGATGCTGATCGCAAAGGGGGAATTTGCAGGATATGTTCAAGGTCCGGCACAAGAGAAGAACCCACCGGCCGAGCAGATCAAGAGAAATCAGAAGCCGAATCACCACAGCACTTAGCCCGTTCGGATTATAAATGCAATTCATGGCCAACCTGAACAGACAGCGGAGTCGGAGGAACTGCTCAGAACGCGATTACGCCAGGCCCAGCTGAAGAGAAGGATTGGCAGTGTACATGTTTTGCATCAGCAGAACGCATCGGCACAGATAAAGTTTGACAGAACAGACCTGTTACGCGTTCAGGTTCCTCATGAAGATCCACTGGTCGTCAGTCTGACAGTTGCAGAATGTCTAGTGCGAAGAGTTCTGATTGATCTAGGAAGTAGTGCAAATGTCATGCCCAGAGTAACGTTCGATTGGCTCGAGATCGAACCCGGGAAACTTAAACCTACAGGAAATCCGTTGCTAAGATTTGATGGGAAGCGGGTGAAGCCCATTGGTATGGTGGAATTGACAGTACAAGCTGCTGAGAGAGTTCTGACTAAGAGTTTTGTGGTCGTAGAAATTCATCCATCTTATAACCTCTTGATAGGAAGAGGGTGGATTCACAGAGTTCAGGGTGTCCCATCAACCTTACATCAAGTGATGCGATGCTTGGGTCCAGGTGGGACCAAGGTGATTGACATTCATGGGACCAAGTCGCAACTAAAGAATGTTATTCAGTGGCTTTGAAATCTGCTGGAAAGGGGAAAATTCCCATCCGTTCTGCAAATCCAAAATAGCAATTACAGGAACCTCCACCCAACAAAAGTGGGAAGGAGGAGCCGCCAGTTCTGACCGCATAACCTCTTCTTGATGTGCAGATCGACCATAAGAAGCTGGACCGAACAACGAGGGTGGGAACCAGACTTGTTGAAGAGGAGAAACAAGGGTTGATTGATTTCTTGACTCAGAATGCAGATGTGTTCGCGTGGAGCCATTCAGACATGCCAGGAATTAGTCCTTCTATGTCCTGTCATTAATGTAGATCCGAACGCAAAGCCTGTGAAGCAGAAGCAGAGAAGATTTACTCTAGAACGCAATCGAATCATAGCTGAGGAGATTGATCGATTGCTCGAGGCAGGATTCATTAGAGAGGTTCAATACCCGGCATGGCTTTCCAATGTCGTTGTTGTGCAGAAAAAGAATGGGAAATGGAGAGTATGTATTGACTTCACTAATCTGAACAAAGCTTGCCCAAAGGACAGCTTCCCATTGTCAAGGATTGATTAAATGGTGGATGTCACTACTGGATACGAGCGATTAACCTTCCTAGATGCTTATTCAGGTTATAATCAGATCCCCATGGACCCGAATGATGAAGAGAAAACTTCTTTTGTTACTGAACGTGGGACCTACTGCTACAAAGTCATGTCGTTCGAATTAAAGAATGCTGCAGCTACTTATCAGAGGCTAATCAGCAAGATTTTCAAAAGTCAAATGGGGAGAACTGTAGAGGCTTACATTGATGATATGGTGGTAAAGAGTAAGAAGAAGGACGATCACTTGGAACACTTACAGGATGTGTTCGGTGTGTTGAGGAAGTACGGAATGAAGCTTAATCCAACCAAATGCTCATTCGGCGTAAGCTCTGGCCAATTATTGGGACATGTGGTCAATCATAGAGGAATTGAGGCTAGCCCAGCCCAGGCGGAAGCTCTGATCAGAAATGCAGAACCAAAGACAATTAAAGAAGTACAAGCACTCACAGGTCGAATAGCTGCACTGAGCCGATTCATTTCTAAGCTCTCAGATCGTTGTAAACCGTTTTTTGACAAGATACGAGGCCATGGAAGACAAGACTGGGGGGATGAACAACGACACGCATTGACCAGCCTGAAAGATTACATGCGAAACCCTCCGGTTCTATCTGCTCCCGAACCAAATGAAAAGCTCTTTGTGTACTTTGGGGTATCCAGCATCGCGACAAGTGCCGTTCTAATCCGTTGCAAGGACGGAAAGCAATTCCCAGTGTTTTATGTCAGCAAAACAATGGCCGAGCGGGAAAGAAAGTACTCAAAGGCCGAACGGATGATCTTGTCGTTGGTCAACGCGAAAAGGAAGCTCAGACATTATTTCGAATCCCATCCAATTGTCGTCTTAACTACTTTTCCTATAAGGATGATCTTGCATAAGCCAGACCTATCAAGAAGAATGACAAAATGGGCCATTGAGTTGAGCTCATTTGATATTACATATGAACCCAGAACGGCAATCAAAGGTCAAGCGGTGGCTGATTTCCTACTTGAATATGATGTTGAAGACTTGGAGGAAGATTATAGTTGTTCCTTATGGAAGCTCTTTGTTGATGGCTCTTCAAATCAAATGGGGGCAGGAATTGGAATCAAATTACAAACACCAGAGGGCACCACGCTGAGCCAAGCGATCAGACTTGAGTTCAAAGCAACCAATAATGAGGCTGAATACGAGGCATTGTTAGCTGGGCTGAAGTTGGCTAAAGAGCTGAAGATCAAAAATCTAATTGCTTATAGCGATTCACAACGAATCGTTCGGCAAGTAACTGGAGAATACGGAACCAAAGATAAGACTATGGAAGCATACTGAACTGCGGTTCTGCGTGAGGCAAAAGACTTCGATCAGATTAAGTTCATTCAGTTGTCAAGGGAGTATAATGAAGATGCCGATCGTTTGGCCTGTAGTGCATCTAGTTCTGGAGAAACATTGCCTAGGGTCATCCCGGTTGACGTGTTGATCCAGCTGTCCATTTTTTATGAACTGCCCGATCCGGGCGCTCAGCAAGTTAATGTTATACCATACGAGCTGAGCTGGATTGATCCGATCATGACTTTCGTATGTGATGGTGTGCTACCCGAACAGAAAGATGAAGCAAGAAAAATTAGGTCCAATGCCGCAAAATATGCTATTGTGCGTGATCAGTTATACAGACGGTCCTTTTCGGGTCCATACTTGAAGTGTGTCACCCCAACAAAGGCTAGACAAATCATGCGAACCATTCATGAAGGTGTATGCGGAAATAATTTGGGAGGAAGATCTTTGGCACACAAAGCAATGACACAAGGGTACTTTTGGCCAAACATGGCACGGGATGTAGAAGAATTCTCTAGAAGATGCGATAAATGCCAAAGGTCCGGACCATTGATACACCAACCACCTGAAGACTTGCACGTAATGGCCACGCCATGGCCTTTCACGTAATGGGGGATGGATGTGGTTGGCCCTCTGCTGACCGCAAGATCGCAGAACAAGTACGTTCTGTTAGCAACAGATTACTTCACCAAGTGGGTAGAGGCAGAGCCGTACCCTAGTGTTACCCAAACTCAAGTAAGACGCTTCATCTGGAATAATATTATCTGTCGCTTTGGCGTACCAAGGTCGATCGTTATGGACAATGGGACCAACCTCGATAGCAAGCAAGTGAAGGAACTGCTGGAAGAATATGGAATTAATCAAAAGTTCGCAGCAGTCATCCATCCCCAGGCTAATGGTCAAGCTGAGATCACGAATAGGACAATATTTGCCTGCATCAAGAATAAGCTCGAAGATGAAAAAGGAAAATGGTTAGACGAGCTTCCGAACATCTTGTGGGCTTACAGAACAACCCCAATACGGCCGACCAGGGAGAGCCATTCGCTATGGCGTACGGCACCGAGGCAGTGATACCAATTGAGCACTTAGTTCCAACCGTTAGAAGCTTGGCGTGGAATCAAGAGTAGAATGATTGAATGTTAAGGTTAAATCTTGATTTGCTGGAGGAGAAAAGGGACGCAGCTGCAATAAGGCTTGCTTCTTATCAGCAGACGCTCGTAAATAGCCATAACAAGAGGGTGAAACACAGAGACTTCGCCCTTGGCAATTTGGTTCTGAAAAGAAAGGTGGGGATAATCAAAAAGATGTTTTCGCCATGGGAAGGTCCATACAGGATTGCAGAAGTCATAAGGAATGGGGCATATGTCCTGGAGACCATGGCAGGAAGGTTGGTCAGTAAACCATGGAATGCCACGTCTCTAAAAAGGTACTACCAGTAGAAATAGAATTTAATTCCGAACAGTATGCTCGTTTTGACTTACATACTTGCAAGTGTACGAAATTCTCAGGTTTTATGAAAAAAGTTTATTTTACTTAAAATTAATTGGCATTCTTCCCATTTAGCAGAGCAAGTGGCAACTGGCACTACGGGCCGAACGCCAAACTCTTGCATAAAAATAAATATATGCCAAGTGGCAAGGGGCATTCTAGCCGAGCGTCAGGCACATAGCAGAGTAGGTGGCAGCTAGCACTGCCAGCCGAACGCCAAACTCTTACATAAAAATAAATATATGCCAAGTGGCAAGGGGCATTCTAGACAAATGTCAGGCACATAGCAGAGTAAGTGGCAGCCGGCACTACAGCCGAACGCCAAACTCTTGCATAAATATATGCCAAGTGGCAAGGGGCATTCTAGCCGAACGCCAGGCATATGGCAGAGCAAGTGGCAACTGGCACTACGAGCCGAACGCCAAACTCTTACATAAAAATAAATATATGCCAAGTGGCAAGGGGCATTCTAGCCGAGCGCCAGGCACATAGCAGAGTAGGTGGCAGCTGGCACTACAGCCGAACGCCAAACTCTTGCATAAACATATGCCAAGTGGCAAGGGGCATTCTAGCCGAACGCCAGGTACATGGTAGAGCAAGTGGTAACTGGCACTACGAGCCGAACACTAAACTCTTACATAAAAATAAATATATGCCAAGTGGCAAGTGGCATTCTAGCCGAGTGCCAGGCACTTAGTAAGGTCAGTGGCAGCTGGCACTGCAAGCCGAACGCCAAACACTTGCTCAGAAATAAACATATGCCGAGTGGCAAGTGACATTCTAGCCGAGCGTCAGGCACCTAGCAAAGTCAGTGGTAGTTGGCACTGCAAGCCGAACGCCAAACACTTGCTCAAAAATAAACATATGCCGAGTGACAAGTAGCATTCTAGCCGAACGCCAGACACTTAGCAAAGTTAGTGGCAACTGGCACTGCAAGCCGAACACCAAACACTTGCTCAAAAATAAACATATGCCGAGTGGTAAGTGGCATTCTAGCCGAGCGCCAGGCACTTAGCAAAGTCAGTGGCAGCTGGCACTAAGAAGCCGAACGCCAAACACTTATGAAAAGTGAAATTTGAAAATTTAAACTTGAAATTAAAGAAAAAAATCCGATATCAAGTTATCATATCATCTTAGAAAATAGAAGTTCTGCCAAAAAGATGTATTATCATTCCCTGTTCCGTCATTACAAAACGATGTTGAGGTACATAGATTGATGTTCTGAGGATACATGAAGATACATTCAAAAAAAAAAAAAAAACACTGTTGTAAGTGATGACAGAGTGCTAGTTGGCACGATCTTCTCCTAGCTATGACTCATTGTTTCCCCCCTCATTGCCCTCTGGCCCATTGTGGCCCACTCCATTTTTAGCTGTACCATCATCCTTGGAAGGAGAGTCAAAATGAATCACCCCCTCAGTTAGCACGAGTCTGTCAGAGGCAACTGATGTGGAGGGGATGATAGTAGTAATAGGAGGAACGTTCAAAGGATGGAAAGGTGGTACAACCCCTGAGGTTGCAACTTCTTTGCATTCAATAAAGATATTCTCAGCAGGGTCGCAGGGTGGATTTTGGTAGTTGCTTGGTGGATGGATGTCCAAAGAGGCGTCCAACTCATCCGAACCAACACAGGAGCT